TCAGCCAAAAAGGGGGGGGGGGGTGGGAAGCAGACCTCGCCCACCCTAATACTCCATGCATTTAGTCTCCAAAGTAAACATGAGATGGGAGATACGACTCTACATCATCTCTGTCAGTCTCAATCTCCATATGCCTTACAGCATGAGCATCATAATTCTATGATTTTTTTAATGTTTATTTTTGAGAGAGAGAGAAAGACAGAGACAGAGAGAGAGACAGAGAGAGACAGAGTGTGAGCAGGGGAGGGGCAGAGAGAGAGGGAGACACAGAATGTGAAGCAAGCTCCAGGCTCTGAGCTGTTAGCAAAGTCAAACACGGGGCTCAAGCTCACAAACCGTGAGATCATAACCTGAACTGAAGTCGGACCCTTAACTGACTGAGCCACCCAGGCACCCCATAATTCTACTATTAAGGAGATGTATACTTTCACATAACATATCCCCTAATCCTAAGTAAACCATTTTATCAAGTGCTCCACTAAAGAAAAAGAAAACAGTTATCTGCACTAGCACTGGAGGGAAAACTGGCTGTTAGACTTGATGGAATACTATATTGTACTTTATGTGCTATTTCAGAAACTTTCGAGAATAATTTGGCTCAATTTTGTTTCACATGCTGAATTTAGGATCTAACCTCTGCATAATGCCTTTTCCCTCCCTCATCTTAAGCATATTAAGCATACTAGAGGTAGCAAAACAGAGATTTAGTCCAAAACAATTATTTGAGGGCAGAAAATTTCCCAAAAAAGTGAATGTTTAAGGAAGTTAAAACCAGGCAAATAAAAACAAAATTTCTGAGGGCAGGTAAGGTTACAGAAAGCATGGACAAAGAACAAAACACCTGTCCTCCATGCTATGAACTTCGCTATGAAAATGATAATAACATGTCTTTTTATTTGCTCCCATAACCATTAAAATCCCTTACCCTGCGTCAATACTTTAAAATATTATTATAAAATTCCTACAACCTATTTATTAAAATTTCTTTTGTAACAGACTAATATTTGCTAAAAACTAAACTAACTACAATTTAGGAAACAGAAGTGTTTTTATTTTTGAAGTACAAACTTGTGTGTACTTTGCCTGACTGATAAAATATTTCCAAGTCACTTGTTTACCTATTCAATACCTACTGAGAACCTACTATGTGTCAGACACTGTGCTAGACCCTAGAAGTACAAAATGAAATAAAATATAATCCATAGTCCTTTCAAGGAGTTATAACCTAATGAGGGAGACATACTATAACTGGTATAATCATGTTAGGATAAAAGTATACACAGGATACCACAGAAGCAAAGAAGGGGGTCAGGAAATGCATTTTTAAAGAAGTATGAATGTGAATTTGGAAGGTCAGGTATAAATTAAATCTGTGCTTCCTAAACTTGATTGTGCATCTGAACCACATCTAGAGCTGATATCTAGGCCTCACTTAAGACTTAGGGAAGTAGAATCACCAGGGGTGGAGCCAAGAAACCTATATTTTTAACCACAAGAGATTCAGAATCACAGCCAGGTGTTGGTAGTAGTGAGCCAGAAGTACTGACAACCATTCGAGGCACAGAGAATGGCTCAGTATGGCCAGAATGTGTGAAGTACAGACAGAAGATGAGAAAGAAATCAGAACAAGAGTAGTGACATCACTAATGTTATGTTTCAAACAGGACCTATGGAATTGATGTGAACTTCCAAAATAAAAGGCAATCACCTGTGTCATGTATTTCAGCAAATGACTTGTGACATGAACTAATTTCTTACTGAAGAACATGGGAAAACTAAATACAAATACCCTGCATTTCAAGACAAAGGTAAAATACTGCTTTGAAAAACAAATGAAAAAATACAAAAACGAAACAGAGCTCTACTCATAGTATTTATTAAATGTAATGACCACTCATTTTTCTCAGCATGCATACCTGGACAATGAACAGAAGTCATGATAATATTTTCTTAACTGAAAAATGTTACATACTGTATAAAAATAAATTCAAACTGTAGTTTGAAATTCAAGCTTTAAGTGCTTGCTTCAGCAGCACATAGACTAAAATTGGAATGATACAGAGATTAGCACCTCCCCTGTGCAAGGATGACACACAAATGAAATTCAAGCTTTAAAACTAAAAACTCTTCTTAATGATTTTAAGTTTCTAAACTGTTATAATAATTTGTTACTTTCTAAAGAATTTACTTAGAAATATCTTTTTTTTTTTTTGTCTATTTATTTATTTTGAGAGAGAGAAAGCAGGGGAGGGGTGAAAGAGAGAGAGAGAGAGACAGACAGAGAGAGAATCCCAAGCAGGCTCTGCTGACAGCATGAAGCCCAACATGGGGCTCAATCCCACCACCTGTAAGATCATAACCTGAGCCAAAATCAAGAGTCAGATGCTTAACTGATTGAGACACCCAAGCACCACAGAAATATCTTCATATTTAATCCCAGGTAGGAGTAAAGTAAGATAAGTCATTAATAAGAGTAATATTCTCCATAACTAAGAATACTCACCATAAATAGGCTAAAAGCCAAATTGAATATTATATATTAATCTGTTTATAAAATAATAAATGGTTTAAATCCTCAATTCATTCCCCCCAAAAGACATCATAAACAGAGGTAGATATGTAATCATGTGAGACAGGAACAAGCTTTTAAATTAAAAAAAATTTTTTAACATTTATTCATTTTGGAGAGACAGAATGCAAGTAGGGGAGGGGCAGAGAGAGAGAGGGAGGCACAGAATCAGAAGCAGGCACCAGGCTCTGAGCTGTCAGCAGAGAGCCTAACACAGGGCTCAAACTCACGAACTGCAAGATCATGACCTGAGCTGAAGTCGGAACCTTAACCAACTGAGCCACGCAGGCACCCCATGAAACAGGAACAAGCCTTTAAAGAACATCCTTCAGGGGCGCCTGGGTGGCGCAGTCGGTTAAGCGTCCCACTTCAGCCAGGTCACGATCTCGCGGTCCGTGAGTTCGAGCCCCGCATCGGGCTCTGGGCTGATGGCTCAGAGCCTGGAGCCTGTTTCTGATTCTGTGTCTCCCTCTCTCTCTGCCCCTCCCCCGTTCATGCTCTGTCTCTCTCTGTCCCAAAAATAAATAAACGTTGAAAAAAAAAATTAAAAAAAAAAAAAAAAACATCCTTCAGAAACCCAGGCACAAACCTACCAATTATAGTATATAAAACACATTTTACAGTTATATTCTATTTTTTAAAAGTCCTTCCAAATCTTACTTAGACCATTTAAACATATCATAATAACCTAGAGACCAGACAAAGATTCATTTATCAAAGTGGTAACTATTGCCAAACTATGCATAGTAACTCCTGGAGGAGCACACAGGGTATAGAGGCTGTGTGTGTGGCTTTGATTGCCACATAGCCCTATTAGAGGAGAACCAGTTAATAAATTATAATTGGCTAATTACAAGAATAATATAGCAAACCATTCTTTCTCAGACTTAATGTACTTTTTAAAATGGTAATATTATCGAGTTGCCTTAATTTTCAGATGAAATACAGGAATTAAATTATACTTTTTGTCAGCTTCCTAGGCTAACATGATCTATTTACAGAGAATGTACTCTATCTTTGTTTCCTGAGTCACTCACTGCTTCCTTTTTGCTCCCGCAGCACTTTGCATGTATCTCTATTTGCTTTTTATTGCAAGTATCGGAATCTTGCAAAGATGATACTATTATCATCATGGAATAGCTGAAGAAACAGGCTTAGCATGATGAAGTCACTTAACAAAAATCACCACTAACCCCAGATATCAAACTCAGATCTGTCTGGGTGCAAAACTCTTTCTATACTGCTTCAAAGGTAGAAAGGTACACAGGACTAAATAAATCAAACCCAAATAACTGAATTGATTGCAGTTCCTTCTATAACTAGTAGAAGCTACTGGTGGTAGCAGAAACAGCTCTATCATATCTGACAGATGAAATGTAGAGAAGAACGTGTATCTGGGGGTGGAGGCGCAGGGTTTTGCCTGGTATCTGAACCACCTCATGTAATTAGGAAATACTGTACCTCACTTTATGAGTCTTTATAGAAGGCAGGGTCCATCTCCATTTATAGAAGCTAACAATGCCATACAGTCATTCTTCCTGTCACCTCATCAGCATGAACACAGGCACTTAATCCATGCTCTGCCAATATGACATTTCCGCCAAGAACTCTAAATTAAAAGCTAGAGATAGTAACAACCTAGGACAGGACAGCAGCAGACAGCAGCAGCAACGTTAAGTTTCCAAAGGTAATGGTAGCAGCTATGCAGTAGCTGAGTCTAGCCAGCAATTTGTGGCAGCAGTATTGTCACTGTTTTTTGGTTTTTTTTTAATTTGTTCTTTAAAGTTTATTTATTTATTTTGAGACAGGTAGAGGCCATGCAAGTGGGAGAGGGACACAGAGAGAGGGAGACAGCGAATCCCAAGCAGGCTCCATACTGTCAACATGGACAGGGCTCAAACTCACAAACCTGTGAGATTATGACCTGAGCCAAAACCAAGAGTCAGATGCTTAACCAACTGAGTCACCCCGGCGTCCCATTACTGGATGGTTTTATGCCATGATTTCCAGATGTCTTTTCTGCTCCCTAGCCTAACATGTTCCTGACTTACAGCTACATACAACCTTCTCAGCAATTTGGTGAACTCATCAATATGATTTCAGTAAATTACTTTTCTACTTGAAATAGTCAAAATTGTCTTCTGTTGCCTACAATTAAAAACCCAGACTAAAGCATTTAATAATAAATGAAACTAAACAATTATACTTTATCAAATCTTTTTACCTTAGTATTGATTGTTGTTTTATATAATTTGCCATTATGATCTTAAGTAACAGCTCTTTATAAATGATGGTATGCTCTAACAACATAAAAAAATACCTCAGGTTTCTTTACCTTTTCCAAAGCAACACAAAAATGCAAAAATGGTAACAACTGTCCAAGGGTAATTTTCACTGAGGTTCAGAGTTAAGCTTTATTAAGAATTCTTACCTGTCAGGGATACCTAGCCTCTTGACACTTCTATAAACAGAAAGAGTATTTGCAACATGTCGATAATTAAACCAGAACCGGGATGTACATACCTAAAGAATTAAAAGAAACATATTATTATGAATCAAAATAAGCCACTGGATTACAGAATTATTTCTCTTTAAGTAGGATTCAGAGATGCCTAAAAAAAAGAGTGTATCATAACTTAGGCTTACAAACAGCAAAGCATATAAATAATTGCCAATAAAACCAATCCCTCTAAAGAGAAGTCTTTCATAACTGCTATTAAATAAAAAGACCATTCAGTTCAAGAGAAAACAAATCTTTGGGTGATTTAATTAAATACCGAATCAACTTAGTTACTCGCAATTTATGTGATTCTATAATGTTCCTATGTCTAAAAGGTTAAATTCTTTACAATCAAAGGCAATGTCCATAATCTCTTCACAGAATAGGAAAGAAAATTAACTATCTTGGGTTATATAATATTCCTTTCACTCTGAATTGCTGCCTATTTTTAGTTATGAAAAATGTTAGACAACATACAAAACAATTTTATATGCATATAAGAGAATACATCATAAAGAAGTTGTTGAACTGAACAGATAACGAGAAACAATCCAAACAAGTTTTACATTAAAAAAAAAAAAATGGGGGTGCCTGGGTGGCTCAGTCAGTTAAACGTCCAACTTCAGTTCAGGTCATAATCTCGCAGTCTTGTGAGTACAAGCCCCACGTCAGGCTCTGTGCTGACAGCTCAGAGCCCAGAGCCTGCTTCAGATTCTGTGTCTCCCTCTCTCGGTCCTTCTCCCACTTGCTATTTCTCTCTCTCAAAAATAAAACATTAAAAAAAATAAACTGATTCCTAAAAATGATATCAACGGTACTAGAAAAATCTAATGCCATGTCTCAAAAATCAGTCCTCTTGAAAATCCATTCCAAAGGAAGCATACCTACCCCCCAAGCTCCCACCCTACCTCCGACCACAAGCCTCTGTGATTAGTAGGTATAATGACAGCTTTGAGAATAGCATAAATGTTCCTGCCCCTGCAAACAGAAAGGAACCTCAAGATTTTTTTTATTAAAACAAATTTTCAACCTGGAATCCAATAAGGAAATGACTAAAATTTTTGACTACATTAAAATGTAAAATTCCATGTTTCAAAAGTACCATAAAGTCCTAACTGAAACGAAAAACTTGAAATAACCAGGGGCACCTAGGTAGCTCATTTGGTTGAGCGTCTGACTTCGGCTCAGGTCATGACCTCATGGTTCATGGGTTCAAGCCCCGTGTCGGGCTCTGTGCTAACAGCTCAGAACCTAGAGCCTGCTTTGGATTCTGTCTCCCTCTCTCTCTCTCTCTCTGCCCCTCCCCTGCACTCTCTCTCTCTCTCAAAAATAAATAAATGTAAAAAAAAAAATTTTTTTAACTTGAATTAACTATAGCTCAAGAAAAAGTGAACATCCCAATTTTGAAAAACGGGAAAAGGAGAGCAAAACATTTCATAGTAAAGGTATTCAAAATGGACATTATAACTCTTAGAGATGCTCAACTTTTATCATAATTTTAAAAACATAAACTGAATTGATAAGTAAAAGTCCATGACAATGCATGGTATTGGCTATCGTGAGGGGAAATGAATAACTCATATCCTACTGTTGAGAATGCAAACTAAAATAACCGTTCTAAGAGGGTAATTTGCAACATATATCAAGTTTGAATATTTATCTTTTTTTAAAAAATGTTTATTTTTGAGAGAGAAGGGTAAGCAGGGGAGGGGCAGTAAGAGAGGGGGTCAGAGGATCCCAAGCAGGCTCTGTGATCAACAGAGAGTCCTATGTGGGGCTAGAATTCACGAACCATGAGAACATGACCTGAGCTGAAGTCAGACGCTCAACCAACTGAGCCAGCAGGCACCCCAAATATTTACCTTTTGATTTAGCTTATGTAAGTACGCAAAAATATGTACTCAAGAATTTTCACTATGACATTGCCTATTCTAGCAAATATTGAAATCAAAAATCTAGAAACAAAATCACTACCCATTAGTAGCAAGAGATCAAGTACATATTCCCTAACTTGAGCAGAAATAGTTTAAATAATTTATATCTGCATTAGTCATAATAAACACCACTATATTCAGTGCATTTTACCATACCCAAAAGGCTTTTTTCAGCTATTATAGTATTTAATGAGCATAAACCTAAGAAACTGTCCTCGTTTTCACCAGCAAGTTACTAAACATGAAATTACAGTGGCAAAAGAGAAGGGACCAGGTAATACCAACTTAATGTAAATTATTCATATTCTCAAAATGAGATACCAAAAAAAAAAAAAAAAGCCAGTGGTAAAAGAGCAAGGGATATGATCCATTAGTCTTTTGAAAAGGACAGAGAGGTAGACATAAATGTAATAATATGCACTGGAAATTTCTAAAAGAATACACAAGAAAATGATAATAGCGATCATGGAGAATAAAAATGGGAGTAAGAGGGGGTACAATGATTTTTCAGTTTACACCCTTCCTCATTGTACTTTTTTTAAACCATGGGTAAGGATTATCATTATAACATTTTTTTATTAAACAGAAGCAAAAATAATTTACTCAAAGCAGGTCTTGAAAATAAAATGGAATCCAATTTTCCTTGTATTTCCCTCTGGTGGCAAAAGTTTCTCAGTCATAGTATAAGGCCAAAGGGGCATTCCACTTACCTCTGATCATTTAGTCAAGACGAAAAACAAATTAACTCAAACTGGTAGAAGAAAACATATGTATTTTTAAAATATGAATGATGTACCACTGAAAAAAATGCATGCTTAGTACTTTCAACTTGACTCTGGTCAAATTTCATGATTTTCCATTTAAGAAAGCACAATTCAGGGCGCTTGGATGACTCAGTCAGTTGAGCATCCAACTCTTGATTTTTGGCTCAGGTCATGATCTCTTAGTTCATGGGTTCAAACCCTGCATTGGGCTCTTGAGCTGACAGCACAGAGCCTGCTTGGCATTCTTTCTCTCTCTCTCTCTCTCTCTCTCTCTCTCTCTCTCTGTCCCTCCCCCCTCTCTCAATAAATAAACATTTAAAAAAAGGAAAGCACAATTCACTGAAGTCTCACTTTACTAAGTCTGAGTGAATGTGTGAAATATCGCACACAATGTGAAACTGCAATTGTTGTGAAATGCTCTGTAATAATTCTGTCATTCTCTATTTCTCATCTGAGATCCAAGTTAGTGCAATTGAAGAGGGGCTCACAGAGGTTTCCCAGACAAGGAAAGCCTCCATGTGTGTGCAGTATAAGCTAATAGGTTCATATTCTAAAGGATGAGCCCTTTGGCAATTAGTTGTCTACACATAGGCAGTTATTCTCTTTTTAAAGAATTCCCATGGAAAGACTAGTCATTGAAGAGCCCTTGGTTTCCTGTAGAGCAAGTTATCCTCTCAAATTGGTAGATCATGGCCTGCCTCCTGCTAAGTCTTCCCCTCTTTTAAGTGGTCACCAAAAACCTGTTTCCTCATCTTAATCAGCTTTTGTTCAATTCTTTCATAAAATCTCTTGTGAGGAATAGTATAGAGGAGGTGTTCTTTCTTGGAGAACAATAAAATAACCCATAAACCCACATTAGGCTGTCCCATTTAATCACAATACAATTATGTATAGCAACTATAATCACTTTTATTTACTTTTAGCAACCTGTAGATAATTACATACTTGAATGAAACTATTCTCAAACTTACAAGGCCCCAGACATTAAGAGTCTTCCTTTGGCCTTAGTAAAGGTAATTATAATCTTACATGTTTGTCCTGCATTTCAGTTGAATTCCTCCACCCACCTCCTTTACACTTCATCTGAAATCCCACAATTCATGGTTCTCAGTTTTCCTCCTTTCCCAACATGAGTTACTGGCTTTGAAATGCAGTACTGTTATCTGCCCCCCACTTCCTTTTTCACAAAAATTTGCTTCCTTTCTTGTCTATTTCCTCATTGTTTCTTTCAGTCAACTCTTCTATACATTTTTTTCATTAAGTCAAATTCATTCTATCTTCTAATCATGTAAATGTCATTAAATAAATCCCCCCCAGAGAAACTACTATCCAAATACTTTCCAAATACAGGAAAAACAAAATTGATTATGTGTATTCTATTTTTTGTTTTTTATTTTTTTAGAGAGAAAGAGAGTGAGGGCCAGGGAGAGGGGCAGATGGGGGGGGGGAGAGAGAGAGAGAGAGAGAATATGAATGAATGAATGAATCCCAAGCAGGCTCCACACTGTGTACAGAGCCTGACGCACAGCTCAATCCCATGATGCTGGGATTATGACCTGAGCTGAAATCAAGAGTTGAACCCTCAACCAACTGAGCCACCCAGGCACCCATACATGTATTCTGTTAGGAAAATTAAAAATACAAATTTATAAATCCAGATAAATTAAGATGGTAATTCACACCAAGAAAAATAAAAAGGACAAAAAAGAAAAATAGGCCAATAAACAAACCTTACTAAGAATCAAAACAATTCAAATTAAAACAATTTAATTTGTTACCCAGCAATCAAAGAGAAAAGGCAAAAGTTAATAATACAGAGTTGTCTTGGGATTAGAAAAAAAGAGGTAAAGCACTTCTGAAGAGCAATTATGTTCCATAACTTCCTAGCCTTATGGCTTAGGAATTTATCCTAAACAGAAAATCAGTCAAGTTCACAAAGGTGTATGTATAAGGCTACCCAACATAGCCTTGTTTAAAATAAAACTTTAGAATCTAAATGCTCATGAACTAGAGATTCTGGTACATTAAAATAGAAAATATTTATTTTCTTTTCTAATAATATTCTATTACTAAAATAGAAAATAATACAGCCTTTGGAAATGATTACGCATCTCTTTATTGGCAGGGAAAGATCTCCAAGATATACTGCTACTGGGTTGCAAAATAACAGTGATAAGATGACCCCTGTAACTTAAAATCATTTATCTTTATGCTTATATTTGAAGGGAAAGAAGGTTAGAAGAATTCCATCAAAATGTTAATGCCAGCATGTGTGGGACTTGAAGGTATTTTCTCTGTCTTCCTTGTTTTTCAAATTAAGATTCACATAACATAAAAGTAATCTTTTATTTCTTTTCTTTTTTGTTTTGTTTTTTGTTTTTAGAGATAGAGTGTAAGCAGGGGAGAGGAGCAGAATGAGAGAGAGAGAGAGAGAGAGAGAGAGAGAGAGAGAGAGAGAAAGAGAATCTCAAGCAGGCTCCATGCTCAGGGCAGAGCCCAATGAGGGGCTTGATCCCAGGGTTGTGGTCAGGGATCATGACCTGAGCCAAAATCAAGAGTCAGATGCTCACTGACTGAGCCACCCAAGTGCCCCTAATCTGTCCTCTTCTAAACTTTTCTGTATAATTTGAATTTTCTACAGTGATTATTTATTTTTCTAGAAAAAAAAAAAAAGATAACTAAAAAAATAACCTAAGTAGAGAGTATCTAATATCACAGATAAGAAATACAGTGGTATCCAGCTGGCTCAGGAGGTAGACTTTCTAACACTTGATCTCAGAGTCATGAGTTCAAGCCCCACACTGGGCATGGAGTCTACTTCAAAAAAAAAAAAAAAAAAGGAAAAAGAAATACAATTACTAGTTTCCATTATTAAAATGAATCTATATTTTATAAAATATTTCCCTTAACAATAGTATTTAATTTATTCTTATATTTATTTACACATCACCACTTGACAATATATTGAAGGCATAGAATATTATTAGTTGACACAGTCAACTTAAAATATAGCCAAATCAAAATAAGGAATTTTTTATAAGATATGAGAAAATAAAAACTCTTTTTCAAAAATCTGATTCACAAAATTTCTCAGACACGTATCTAATGTGAATAGCTACATACTTACCAAAACAGCCCAGTTGTTTGTATGCCCACTTCTAAAGAACTGTTCTGTTTGATCCTACAAGTCAAATAATAGCAAATATATTAGAAAAGCCACATTTCTGAGAATAAAAAAGTTAAGATTCATGAAGTCTTTACAGTTACAATGACAGTAAATTATCATCATGCAAATTTATAAAGGGTCTAGTATTTGACCTTATGAAGGACAAAAGTTTCATTTTTTTTTGTTGGGGGCACTGTGGAGGGAGTTGCTTGTTTTTAAACAATGTATCTCGAACACAACCAGCTCTTCCTCATTCCTCAGCTTCTAGTTTTTCAATTCAGTCTTCAAATTGTGAATGACTTATTTTCATGCCTTGATTATACACTTAATAATTAATACGCTTCTTGTTGAAGTTTCATTAATTATTTCCTCCTATTCTGTACTGGATGCTTCCAATTACTTTATATGAACACATCACTACATCTGATTGAGTACATTCTCTAGCATGCTGCCATGTACCATTTCACTAATCTGTTAAAGTCTGAACTATATTTGCCATTGTGGAACATTAAAAACCTCAATATCCAATAGTATCCAGATACTTAAGGAACACTATGTTTATTATATATTAAAATAATAGTGAATATAAACTTTAATGACCCCAGATCTACTACCAACCAGTATTAATTACTAAAATAGTCATACTTCCTGGATTCAAATCTGGGCCCTATTATTTACAAGCTGTAAAAGCTTAGGAAAGCTTCTCTGTGCCCATAGTAATATTACCTGACACACAGAAGGTAGGAATGGTGACTGGAACATAGAAATTGCATAACTAACTTTAGCTGTTCTAATTTTCAGCTGGCAAGAAAACTGCAGGGAGAATAAAATAAATTCACTCAAATGTGTCATACACACACACACACACACACACACACACACACACATCTTTTTTAAACCTTTCTCAACAGCTGCCTAGATGCTAAAGAAAAAATGTGCTACAATGGATTAAAGCATTAGTTTAAAAATTTGAAGATGTGGGCTTTAGCCCAGGTCCTATCCCTCACATGGCTGTGAGACTGGGGTAAGTCACCTAGCTCTTTAGACTTGACTTTCCTCATGTAGAAAGTAAGAGTTGACCCAATAATCTCAAATGTCCCTTCTAGCTGAAAATTCTTACATTATTAAGACTTTAGTGAAAATTTTGTTATGGCAAAACTCTTTTGTGATTGTTTAGACAATATAGGCACTGCAAAGTTATTCATTCTACATGAGTGGAGCACCTATCATGTGCCATGTACATGTAATGTATAGTGATATAAAAAATCACTAAATAACATGCTTCTTTCTCTGAAGAATCCCAGAGTTCAATAAGGAAGCATGCAAACACATTACACTGCAATGTAACATTCATTCATTCATCACATTCATTGGGTGCCATGTGCCAGCCACTGTCCTGAACGCTCACAATACAATGATGGGCAAAAATAGTCATCGTACTTGCCTTCAAAGAGGTTACTATCCAATCTGACAGACACACATTAAGCAGATGAGGGCAAACTATGAATTCTACCAAGATAAGATACACAGTATCATGAAAGAGTACAGTAGACCCCTAGAGAGACCTGACCTGACCTGATTCGGGGGGTGGGAAGTGGGAAGGCGTCAGGGAAGTTTCCCCTAGAGAAGTGACATTTAGGTTAGGACCCAAAAGATGAAGAGAAGAGGGAGGATAATTCCAGACAGAAGGAACATACACCCTAATGGCAGAAAGGAGCCTAAAGGCTTTTAGAAACTGAAAGATTAGCACTACTAGAAGTCTGTGAAATAGAAAGAGAGGATAAATGTTTCTTTATCCTTAAAGAAACATTAAGGTGTTTATGGATACATGATCCGAGTTGCATTTTTAAAAATTACTCTGGCTGCAGCTTAGAAAACAGACTGGAAGGAAGAAAGACTTGAGCCGGGCCAGTTAGGGAGCTATTGCACTTTTAAGTGAAAGATGATGGAATAATAGATATTATAAAGCATATATGGATTACAACAGATAAGTGCTATATTAGCTAAGTGTACAAATTACAACAGTATAAACAAAGACAAGGGATAAGGAAAGACTCTACAGAAGTTATGCTTCTACTTCATCTTAGTAAATGGACAGAATAAATAAGAGGTTATAAAACATGGTAATGTGAAAAAGCACAGCAACAATATAACTACAAAAAAGTAATAGTAATGTTATCCAAAATGAAGTACACACGATAATCCATTAGAATAAAGGAGGAAAATAGCGGAACTTCTTTTTATATTTGTAGTGTATTAAAAAATGCCTTATAAATATTGAATATATAGATTAGTAGTAATTCATGGATATAGACAGAGGGTGCATTCTTTGTGTCTTTTTCAACTGGGGAGGTATGTATTCAAAAAGTTTATAATCCACTGGTCTAAACTCAGGACACTTAAATGCTGGAAAGAATGGGCTCCAATAAGAAGACCACAAAAGTGAGCAGAGACCAGATCATGATGTTTATTTAGACTTTCCTCTGGAAAACACTGGAAGGATTAAATCAGAAGAACAACCCCATTATATCTGCATTTTATGAAGACTAATTTAACATCTAAGTGAGGGCCTTTGGAAGCCTGAGGGAAACAAGATCGTTGTTGCAATAGTCTAGGCAAGAAATGGCCAGGGCCTGCATTAAGCCAGTGGAACTGGAAAGATGAAAGCAATTTTTAAAGCTCATAACGTAGAATTTAGTGTTAATCAAAATGTGGGATAAAAAAGGGGGGGGGTTATTTTTAAAAAATCAAAACACGTTTCTGACTTAGTAGCTATCCCACAGGAGGTGGGCTAGACAGAAGATGAAACTTTGGACACAGATTTTCAAATGTGTGCTATCTCGGCCCCTTAGCCAACAGGATATGCAAGTCTGACAACGATACCACAGATCTAGACTGTAGAACTGGCCTCAAGTATTGTCAGAGTACTAGGGAGAGCAAAAGTTTTATAAAAGGTCAGAATTCCTGTGAGCCAAAAATAAAACACCGTACCCATGTGACTCCTGTCAAAGGGGAGCGTTGTAGTTTAATAGGAAAGTAGGTGCTTCACTCCTGTGCTTTCATTTCAACTGCTAGGGACCACACACTCGTCGGAGCAATGGATCAGGCCCTCCTCCGTATCCTAAGATTTGATTCTTTAAATTCGTCGTTTTAAAAGGGCGAAACAGACCGAGACCCTCCCCACAGCCCAGTCAGCCTAGTAAGAGGCTGATGCTTCCCTCTGCTGCTGTTGAGTCGGGTCATCTGTTGGTGCACTCACAGCCACAACGCAGCTGTCCTCCCAGGGCCCTGTCGCTCGGAGGGCCTGATTCCTACCTCGATCTGACTAGCGGCCAAGCTGCCGAAGGACAAGAGCAACAACCCTGCCAGGGCAGTCAAACACTTGCGAAGAAAGCAGGAGGCCACCATGTTTCCCGGCTTCCGCCGCCCGCACCTGGAGAGGCGGAACGAGTGCCGTAAAGCACCGCCGCGGGTTTTTGCATGCCTTCTGTTTCTTTTTGCGACGCCAGCCCCACCTCCTTGATGCCGGCCCCTCCCTGGCCCTTAGTAAATAGCGCTGGCACAGAGTTCAAGTTTCCGGGTTGTTGGGGCAGAGTTGAAAGAATTTGATCCTTTATTTTTAACTGCATTTTCCGTTTTTGTATTATAAAATAGGTATAACATTTAAAAATTGTCTGAAAAGTGAAGGAGAAAAATCTGTGATCCCATAAACTTTAAGAAGCTATTTCCTATTCTGCATAGTGCTGCCAATTCTTTGAATAAATGAAGGAGGATGTGGTGGGAAGAGCAAGCATTTGGGCACAAAAAAAATGATTAATTGTGTTAATCGGTAACATGGGTGGGTGCTGCAATTAACAGACTTGAGGTCTATTACTTATTAAAAGCTTGAACATGGAAAAATTGTTTATGTTGTTTCTTCTGTAATTATGGAGCCAAAATTTACTTCAAAGAGGATCTGAGGATTTGATAAGATCATGTGTATTTATTTGTTCCATTGTGTTCATTGTATGCATTCAGTTTTAAATTATTTTCATCTAGTATCACATAAACATATTTATGCTGCTTCATGATCTTTATAATTTTAACATTTAATGGGAACTTGGAATTTCACCTCTTACTGGTGCTTCTGACAAGTAATTTCCCCTCTATTGGACAATACAAAGTTTCCATGTTTTACTATAAAAGTAATATTATAAAGCATACCTTCGTGCATTTGACTTTTCACATTTGTTGAATTCTTTTTTTTTTTTTTAAGTTTATTTATTAAGTTTATGAAGACAGAGAGAGAGTGGGGTAGGGACAGAGAGAGGGGGAGAGAGAGAATCCCAAGCAGGATCCACACTGTCAGCGCAGAATCTGATGGTGGGTCTCAAACTCACCAACTGTTATATCATGACAGCTGAAATCAAGAATCCACACTTAACCAACTGAGCCACCCAGGCACCTCTGTTGAATTACTTTCTTTGGATAATTTTCCTAGAACAGGAATTTTAAGTCAAAATATACAAAAATTTTAGTGCCCATCAATAATGTTGCTTTCCAAAGAGTACAGACTGGCAGTACCAACAAAATACAACCTAACACCAAATTATACCATTTTTTCCCTCTAAATTCCTAGTTTTAAAATGTTACCTCAAGGTTATTATACTTCTAATTCTTTGATTGCTATCAAGATCCGATGTCTTTCCTTGTGTTTATAAACTATCTTATGTCCTCTGATGTAAATTTTCTGTTCACAGCCTTGTTTTACATACAAATTTGAATATATTTATAAAGCAGTGACATTAACCCTTGCCATATTTCATGCTATTGCTTTTCCCAGCCTCTTGTCTCTCTTTCCATTCGTTTCTTTTGCTATTGTAGTTTGTGAGATGGTTAATGTTAGGTAGTCAAATTTCAGGTTTTCCCTTGTAAAGCCAAGAAAGCTAGCATACTACCAGAATGTCTTACACCTGAAATGTCATAAGTTCATTCAGTTCTCAAATCAAGTTTTATTTTCTTTTGATTTTATATTTAATTTTTTAATTATCTGGAATATACTTTAGTATATGCTACAAGGCGTTATCTAAGTTATCTATTGCTGCATAACAAACCACCCAAAACTTTGTAGTGTGTCCATAGCTAGAGGCAAAAGGGTATAGAAATGGAGACATGATTCTGGGAATCCATTGCTGTAATGATCTACTACTTTTATCAAAATTGGTATTCCATGATCCAACAGAATTTTCTGCATAATGCTTACCTTACTCATTGACTCATAATAATTCTTTAATTAAACACTTGTAAGAAATACAGTAATTATTTTTTTATCTTTATTTATTTTTGAGAGAGAGAGAGAGAGAGAGAGAGAGAGAGAGAGAGAGTGCAAGTGGGGGAGGAACAAAGAGAGAGGGAGACACAGAATCCGAAGCAGGCTCCAGGCTCTGAACTGTCAGCACAGAGCCTGATGCAGGGCTCGAACCCACCAACTGGGAAATCATGACCTGAGCCCAAATCAGATGCTCAACCTACTGAGCCACCCAGGCACCCCAGAAATACAGTATTTCTGACCTTTCTGTTCTCTTCAATTAAAATATATGTTTTTTGGGGGGCTAGTACCATGTTATTTTAATCATTGTGTTGCAGGATTCTTTACCTCACTCAATACCTGGGATTCATTGTCTCACCACTTCGAAGAATGAAGAAGAGGACACAAAATGAGCAGCAGGCAAAAATTTATTAGAGTATAAGATTAGAAAGTAAGAATAGTATGAAAACTCTCTTTACAGAAAAGGGGCATTTGAAAGTGAATGCCCGCAAATATAGATAAGGGTCTTTGTTTTATAAGGTTCTGCTCAACTTCTCCTTCCCTTCCCCCTTGTTCCTTCTCAGGTTATACCCTTAATTGGCTTGATAACTAGGTGCTGGGTTGTCCATTCTTGATTGGCTCGATTCCATTGTGTGAGGAGTCAGACTATGGTCATACTATCTCTCATATGACATAAGTTTTATGGTTTACTTATTTTAGTTAAGTATTTTGATTCTCAAATTCCTGAGGGGAACCTGAGGAGGAGTAGTAGTGTCTGTTACATTCTCAAGAGGGACCTTATGTTCAAGGGGGTTTGCTGTGGTCAGATGCTGCCAGCATTGTTCCAAAATATGTGTTTTTTTCCTCACCCAGGGACCTCAGGTCCTAATCTTTCCCTCTCTGCCTATTTTATCCTATCTTTCCCTATTATAATTGTTGCTTTTAATATGTTTTGATATTTGGCCATTATGGCTAGCCATTTCACTGTATTTAATTTTTCACAAAATTCTTTGATGATTTCACCTGGTAATTTTCCAGGTGAATTTTATAATAATTTTTTCAAGTTATAAAAAAGTAATACTATTTGGATTTTTAATGGGGCTATAAAAAATCTGTTAATAATTTGAGAGAGGCTGACATCTTTATCATATTTAGTCCTTCATCCTGGAATATGGAACTCACATTTATTTGTGTTTCCTTTTTTGAATTTCTTAGCAGAACTATAAGCCAGAGATACCTAATTTAAGCTACCTGTTAACATTTGCTGTTATTCTCAATGGATTTTTTTTTCACTATATAGGAAATAAACATACAATAATTATAAATAGGTAATATCTATAATATTATGTTTTCTAATCAGTTATTGCTGATAGGCAGATAATATGTTCTGTGCAAGTACTATTTGATTATTTTAATAAGAATTATTTAATTATTTCAATCATTAAAATTACTTAAAACTTGTTTGGCAGATTGTATTGGCTTTTCTATTTTTTTTAATAATGCTATGTTATCCTCAAATTACCTTTTTGTCTCTTCCTTTGCAATATTATGTCTTGTATTTCTTTTTCACAGCTTATATTACAGCTGAATACTAAGAATGTTGATAGCAAGATTTTCTTGTTTCATTTTTGTTTTCAAAGAAGGTGCAGTGACTGATAATTAAGACAAACAGGAAAAATCCTTCTTTCTTGGCTTTTGCCCCTTGAATTAAGCTTATTGCCCAGGTAGCTTGTACATTGCTTTATTTAGCTGGAATAAAATCAGCATTGCATTAAACACACACGCACGCGCGCGCACACACACACACAACCACGATACTGTGTTGTATATTTGAAAGTTGTTGAGAGAGTATATCTTAAAAGTTTTCACCACTAGGAGAAAACTATACACCTAAATATATAACAGTGTTATGTCAATTATATCTCTGTTTAAAAAAAAAAAAGAATTGGAGGTGAGAAGGAAGATGGCGGCGTAGGAGGACGCTGGGCTCACCACGCATCCTGCAGATCACTTAGATTCCACCTACACCTGCCTAAATAACCCAGAAAACTGCCAGAGGATTAGCAGAACGGAGTCACCGGAGCCAAGCGCAGACGAGAGGCCCACGGAAGAGGGTAGGAAGGGCGGCGAGGCGGTGCGCGCTCCACGGACTGGCGGGAGGGAGCCGGGGCGGAGGGGCGGCTCGCCGGCCAAGCAGAGCCCCCGAGTCTGGCTTGCAAAAAGCAGAGGGGCCTGACGGACTGTGTTCCGACAGCAAGCGCGACTTAGCGGCTGGGAGGTCATAAGTTAACAGCTCTGCTCAGAAAGCGGGAAGGCTGGAGGACAAAGGGAAGGAGAGCTGCTGAGCCCCCTGACGACAGAGCTCAGTTTGGTGGGGAACAAAGGCGCTCGCCAGCGCCATCTCCCCCGCCCATCCCCCAGCCAAAATCCCAAAGAGAACCAGTTCCTGCCAGGGAACTTGCTCGCTCCGCGCAAACACCCAACTCTGCGCTTCTGCAGAGCCAAACCTCCGGCAGCGGATCTGACTCCCTCCTGCTGCCACAGGGCCCCTCCTGAAGTGGATCACCTAAGGAGAAGCAAGCTAAGCCTGCCCCTCTTGCCCCTGTGCACCTTGCCTACCCACCCCAGCTAAGACACCAGATCCCCAGCATCACAAGCCTGGCAGTGTGCAAGTAGCCCAGATGGGCCACCCCACCCCACAGTGAATACTGCCCCTAGGAGAGGGGAAGAGAAGGCACACACCAGTCTGACTGTGGCCCCAGCGGTGGGCTGGGGGCAGACATCAGGTCTGACTGCGGCTCCGCCCACCAACTCCAGTTATACACCACAGCACAGGGGAAGTGCCCTGCAGGTCCTCACCACGCCAGGGACTATCCAAAATGACCAAGCGGAAGAATTCCCCTCAGAAGAATCTCCAGGAAATAACAACAGCTAATGAGCTGATCAAAAAGGATTTAAATAATATAACAGAAAGTGAATTTAGAATAATAGTCATAAAATTAATCGCTGGGCTTGAAAACAGTATAGCTGACAGCAGAGAATCTCTTGCTACAGAGATCAAGGGACTAAGGAACAGTCACGAGGAGCTGAAAAACGCTTTAAACGAAATGCATAACAAAATGGAAACCACCACGGCTCGGATTGAAGAGGCAGAGGAGAGAATAGGTGAAC